TGCCACTTATCTACCCCCAGTCCTTTTTTTCTTCTTTTTACTTATTTTTATTGGAGTATAGTTGCTTTACAATATTGTGTTATACTGTATCGCCAAGTGAATCAGCTATACGTATACATATATCCCCTCTTTTTTGGATTTCCTTCTTATTTAGGTCACCACAGAGCACTGAGTAGAGTGCCCTGTGCTATACAGTAGGTTCTCATTAATTATCTATTTTATACATAGTATCAATAGTGTATATACATCAATCCCAATCTCCCAATTCATCTCACCACCACCCTTTCCTCCTTGGTATCCATACGTTTGTTCTCTACATCCGCATCTCTATTTCCACTTTGTAAACAAGATCGTCTATACCAATTTATTCAGATTCCACATATATGAGTTAATATACGACATTTCTTTTTCCCTTTCTGACTTACTTCACTCTGTATGACAGTCTCCAGGTCCATCCATGTCTCTACAAATGACCCAATTTCATTCCTTTTAATAGCTGAGTAATATTCCACTGTATATATATACCACATCTTCTTTATCCATTCCTCTGTCCATGGACATCTAGGTTGCTTCCATATCCTGGCTATTGTAAATAGTGCTGCAATGAACACTGGGGTGCATGTGTCTTCCCCGTCTAGAATGTTCTTCCCCAGCTGAGGGAACTATTCCCTCAGGTCTCTGCTCAGCCTTCCCCCAACAGCCAATCTCTAAACCACCACTGCTGCCACCTCATCATTTCCAAACCCTGCTACATCTTTCCCACTGAATTTATCACCACCGAATTTTATATATTTATTTGTTTATTATCTATCTCCTTACACTGGAACACAAGCTCTGCAAGAACAGAGAATGCCATCTATTTTTATAAAATAAGCACCCTGGGGCTTCCCTGGTGGCGCAGTGCTTGAGAGTCCGCCTGCCGATGCAGGAGACGCGGGTTCGTGCCCCGTTTCGGGAAGATCCCACATGCCGCGGAGCGGCTGGGCCCGTGAGCCATGGCCGCTGAGCCTGCGCGTCCGGAGCCTGTGCTCCGCAAATGGGAGAGGCCACAACAGTGAGAGGCCCGCATAACGCAAGAAAAATAAAAAAAAATAAAAAAAAATAAAAAATAAGCACCCTGTACATACGCAGGTACTGACGAATATTTGTTAAGAATAAGAGTATCGTATATATGTCCATGCCACTCTCTCGCTTTGTCACAGCCTACCCTTCCCCCTCCCCATATACACTACCAAACGTAAAATAGATAGCTAGTGGGAAGCAGCACATAGCACAGGGAGATCAGCTTAGTGCTTTGTGACCACCTAGAGGGATGAGATAGGGAGGGTGGGAGGAAGCCGCAAGAGGGAAGAGATATGGGAACGTATGTATAACTGATTCACTTTGTTATAAAGCAGAAACTAACACACCACTGTAAACCAATTATACTCCAATAAAGATGTAAAAAAAAAAGAATAAGAGTATCAATGCCAAGAATGAAATGGATTATCAGTGCCAAGAATAAAACAGCATCTATGAATTCCTTCTAGAACAAGACAAGAACTTACGACGGTCTTACTGCAAGTAACACAGGCCATACCCACAAGAGGTACTCTGTAAATGTTCAATTCGTAAAAGAACAAGAAAGAACTTGCTTTTTCCTTCTCCATTCCCTTCTCCCCTACCTTCTCAGGCCCTCTAAAACAATGTAGAATTTACTTCCGTGCTACTATTAATTTTTTAAGTATATTTATATTCTTTTTCAAGAATCCATTCTTTCCAGATTATATTTCACAAGAGCAGCAGCTATTATTTAGACTTAAGTTTAAACAGACTCATTGTTTTTATTTGTTTCTCCTTTACATTATCTTAAAACTTGGGTGGGAAAGTGGGTGTTAAAGTTGGCAGCTCCTCAAGTAGCTTGCTCAGGTAAATTTGTTTTAGAAATGTTGGTGAAATTCAGATTGAGTTTCTGAAAATGTATTCTGTCCCCACAAGTAGGCAGTACAATGGACGTAACAGAGAAATTTAACATCACATGACCTCCTAAGTGTCCATTTCCACCATTTTCTTTATCTTCTAGCCTTTCGTGTTACAGAAAAATTAAATTTAAGTCTAATTTGCTTTTATTTGCTTATAACCTGGGTTTTAGGTTTTATTTTTATCTTTGAAATTACAAATTTCACCAGGATAGGTCTACGTATGCATTCTTTTTTTCAATGTTTTGCCTGACATTTGGTGAAAAACCTTTCATCTAAAGATGTGAGTCTTTCTTCAGCTCAGGGTGAAATTTTCTCCTATTATTTTTCATTTCTGTTTGCTTGGATCTCTCCTCCTGGAAATCCCATTGTGTTTATCTTAGACAAGCGCTGTCCCAAAGAAATAGAACTCAAGCCACATAGGCAATTTAAAATTTTCTAGTAGCCACATTAAAAAATAAAAGTAAAAATTTTAATATTTATCCTAATATATCCAAAATAGTTTTAGAATGTAATCTAAAAAGGAGTGGATATATATATTTGTATAACTGATTCACTTTGCTGTACACCTGAAACTAACACAACACTGTAAATCAACAATACTCCAATAAAAATTTCAAATAAAAATGTAATCTATAAAGAAAATTACAGGTGAGATACTTTACATTTTTTTTTTTTTTCATATTGAGTCTTCAAAATCTGGTTTGTGTTCTCTACTTGCAGCTCATCTCAATTCAGACTTGCTGCTTTTCAAGTGCCTTGGCTGATGGCTACCATACTGGACAGTGTAAGAGATGTTCTGCAACCGTCTTCTGTGCCTTTTTAATTCATGATTTTTATCCTTTTTTTTTTCTTCTGAATCCTAAGAGAATTCACATCCTACTTAACTTCAAATTCACTAACTCGGCTTCTACGGTACCCAGTATCTCCTACTTACTACTGCATCTACAGAATATTTAAGTCAACAGTCATATTTTACACCTTCAGGGGCTCTTTCTTCACGGCACACTGTTCCCTCCTATTTTGGTTATCCAGGAATGTCCTCTAGAATGTCAGGACTTCGTCTTAGAATTTTCATCAAGTTTTCTCCCATCTCCTCCAGCAAATCTGTTTCATTGGAGACCCTTTGCTCTGAGTCATCACAAGGAGCCTCCACTCTTGAGCTTCTAAGCCTTCTCCTCTTCTGCCTAAGTGTCACTGCCCTATCTGCTTGGTCTTTTAGATAAAAATCTAGTTTATAGATCTCTGATAGCCAAGCTGGGTACCATCAGTGATCATATAGGTCACAATTCATTTTTCTTGGTCACAAAAAGAAGGAAAAGTTTAGACTTAGTAACATTTTCTTTAGTAGCTCAGAGGTCTAATAATTGCAGGGAATGGGGATGGAATCATAAGCAGAGGAAACGCACAGAGCACAAATTAATCTCCCATTTGCTTCCACCTAGACAGCCCAGGACTAGCTGGAATACCATCCCAGCAACTGGCTACAGTACTGGACAGCACAGATACAGGACAGCTTCCTTCACCGCAGATAGTTCTATTAGACAGTACTTGGCTAAAGAATTCTTCTCAAAGCCCCAAAAACCACACTACCAGGTCTGGCTCTACAAAAATCCCTTCTTTTTACCATTTTCTCCTTCCTTCAGGAGTTCTGCCCTTCGCCCTTAAAAGCCTTGGTTTTTCTCACCTATTTTGACTCAACACTCTCCTAGTCCAAGGGATAAAAATCTACTGCCAGTTAAGTGCAGTACACATTAACAGGATAGATAGAAAGTAGTTTTTAGTGTTGAGGAACATTCAAAAAGGCAGTACAGGGCTTCCCTGGTGGCGCAGTGGTTGAGAGTCCGCCTGCCAAAGCAGAGGACACGGGTTCGTGCCCTGGTCCGGGAAGATCCCACATGCCGCGGAGCGGCTGGG